CATCAGAACTATGAAATGTATGAAATTTTCTACTCAGAATGGACATATTAAGAGAAAAAAGGGTAGGAAGAAAAGTCATAAACAATGTGTAAATATCCTCCAGTGTAACCAAATTCCAAAATCAATGTTCACATATAATTAATTATTTTGGGGGGGAAACGCGGGATCTGAGGTCTTGTAAATGAGCTATGTTCAAATGAAGCCTCAAGAAAAGGTAACCATTTTAGCATCAAATTTGCATGACCTCGAGAACTTTCATAGGTACTATCTGCAATTTTATCCATTACAAACATCTCCCAAATTTTGTTTATGAGGCCTCACAAAGTGCCACAGGCACATACATAGTGCTATATCACCTTAGTTATTAAGAATATCTATATCTCACCTTTTCATTTAAGAGAAATACTCAGAATGGCTTAGAACACATTTTAAAAGCCATACACAATCAACACACACAAAAAATACAATACAAATAGGCTCTTCTTTTCCTTCGGTCAGATTTGGCTCAAGTCTTCCTCCATCTTCCACCGTGGTCACAATTACTTCATCACACAAAGAATCAGGTACTACAATGAGCAGGGGCCGCTGGGGAGGGGCCATGACTCAAGGGTAGAGCACCTGCTCAGCATGCAGAAAGTCCCAGGTTCGATCCCCGGGATCTTTGCTAGTAGGTGATATGAAAAACCTCAAAACCCTGGCAACCTGCTGTCTGTCCGAGTAGACAGTACTAACTTAGATGAACCATGGGTCAGATTCAGTATAAGGCAGCTTCATGTGTTCATGCACAAACAGGAGCCATTGTGTTCACTGTTCACAAAGCCTCCTGATTCCAGAGAACTACTAAATCTGTTGTATGCATTGCAAGTCACATCAAATGGGAAATGCCCCAAAGCTGTCAGGAAACCATGTGGATCCATCTTTCTTTGGGGGCAGATCATGTCAATTGACCCACCCACACTTCTGCATGATCCTGTGCTCACCAAAAATCTATACCGGACAATGGAGTCACAGAGAAAACGCACACTCCCAAGATCACCATTATCCTAACTTGCCCAGAACACTAAATACAAGGGATGGCCTGCTCTGCTACATTATTTTTTTAGTTATACCTCACTTTGCCCACCTAAATGGGGACTCAAAACAGCCTACACTGATGTTCTCCCATCCTCCATTTTATCCTCACAACACCCTCTGAGGTAAGTTAGGCTAAGAGTGTGTGATTGGCCCAAGGTCACCCAGCAATATGTCAGTAAGGATTTTTACCTGGGTCTCCCAGTTTCTAGGCCAATACTCTGACCAACAAAGAGCCAGTGTGGTGCAGTGGTTAAGAGCGGTGGACTCTTCTGGAGAACCAGGTTTGGTTCCCCTTTCCTCCACATGAAGCCTGCTGAGTGACCCTGGACCAGTCACAGTTCTCTCAGAACTCTCTCAGCCTCACTTACCTCACAAGGTGCCTGCTATGGGGAGAGGAAGGGAATGTGATTACAATACGCTTTGCGACTCTTTATGGTAGAGAAACGTAGGGTATAAAAACCTACTCTTCTTCTTCCACCATTACACCAGGTGAGTTCAGTGTCAGTTAAGATAGCTCCATGGTTGTCATGGCAGCCATGAAACCTTGATCTGCTCCAACTAATGATAACAGCAGGGGTCAAAGGCTCATAACTTCTGCCACTACTGTGTAACATTACCACATACAACAGAGGGATTACAGGCTATTTGCAAGTTTTCCATGTGCATTGAGACTTTGATGCTAGACCAACCGATCGCACTTTCATACCCTTTCTGAGGCAGGAATTGATGGAGGGTAGAATCACACACACACACACACACACACACACAAAACTGGCACACAGCCAGGGTGGAATACTTAACTCTCAACCTTGCTTTCAATCAATGTACGGGCACATAAGAACACAACAGAGAAACCTCTGAACATGTGCAGAGTTATTTACCTTACTGTTTCACTGAAGGATTATAAGCAGCTGAGGAACACACTGAATTTGGAAGTAAAGGGCACTGGCAAATTTCTCTAAAACATAAACCATGTTGGATCAGATGAATGGTCCATTTAGTCCAGCGCCTGTTTTCCAACCGTGGCTACCCAGACACCCCAGATGCCCCACAGCAGGGCCACAAGCTTCTCCCTATGGCTGCTCCCCAACAACTAGCATGTATGTTGGTGGAGGTTCCATACAGCTATAGAGGGACCTACCCTTTGGTGAATTTGTCCAGACCTTTCCAAAAATTATGCTGGGTGTTGGTGCTACATTCTGTAGCAATAAGCTTTGTGTTTCTATGGAGACCCATTACCAATGCTCCCTCTAAGCTGTGGAGTCTTGTGAGCAAAAATTCTACTTTCTGAGCTACTACCGTAGCATTAAAGTTGTGAGCGAGTGATTTGGCTCCTGTGTAAATTAGTTTGCTCTGGAGCCATCCTTCCTGAGCTAAGACAAAAATGTGTGAGCCGGAGGGTAAAAAACTGTGAGCTAGCGCACACTAATTCTTAGGAGTGGGGGGGCACCCTACCTCCAATACTGGAGGCAGCAGCAGTGGCTGGGCGATGTGGCGAACAACGAGCGAGCCGGCAGAAAGAACATGGCGACGGATCGGCGGCAAAAACGGCAGGCGACTCGTGGAGGCGTGGTCCGGGAGGCGTGGTGACGTAAAGTGCGGTTGGTGCCTGTGGGACAGAGACCAGTGCGACTCATCGCGCAGCCGCGCGCCACAG